TACGATCCCTAATCAATTATGCAGCACAAGTTTTTCATTACTCTCTCCCTGAATACCTCCACCAAGAACTAGAACGTATTCAGGAAAGATCCATGAGAATCATTTGTCCTGGTATGCAATACGAACAGGCCTTAGCTATTATGAATCTTCCAACTGTGAAAGACCGCCATGAAAATATGTGTACAGCAACATTTCGCAATATAATGAACGATCCTCAGCACAAATTAAGCACACTTTTACCACCCCGCTATGTAAGCTCTCATAGGTTAAGGCACGAGCGTACCTTTGCTTTGCCACTTTGCAAGACAAATAGACTTAAAACAGTTTTTTTTATTGCTTCAGCCAGAATAGTCAACGGCCAAAAATAATGTACAAGTTCCCCCTTACGACGAACTACGTATTTTTGTAATGATAAGATGTATACATGTACATAGTATTTTTATTTTATATCTGTGAATATGCAATTTAGTTAATGCTGCGAAGTATTTACCAATAAAGTATCTATCTACTTCATAAGTGTATTGAAAGAGTGTTCCTAGTACTGAGTTTCATGGGAGCAACATAAGGTGTCTAACTGAATACAGCTATATCATAGACACTAAACTTCCTTAAATTCAGAGTGCTAATAACATTTTTATCTGTCATAATTAGCTGGAAGTTAATGTTCATTGATGAACTATTGATTTTAGTGCTTACTGAACATGCATAAAAGTCTAAAGCAATCTTATGGTATCTCTTTTTGTGCTACTCACCGTAGGTCTTTCCTGGAAATACAGACAAAGACAGCATTGTTATCAACAGTCTTGATGAATTTGCAAGTGCAAGGTTCATCCGCTTTGTGCCGACACAATATCATCTATGGAAAAGTCTTAGAGTGGAAGTATATGGAGTACTTCTAAATAAAGGTGATATTTGACCACTTTGTTCCTCTTGAGACAGAAACAAAATAAAGTTGGACCGAAGAAAATTTCGGAATCAACTTGTCACAGGTGTTGATATCTTACAGGTGTTGATCCGGTGTTACCTGATCATTAAGTATTGTATCGTCTATGGTATCCTATTGTCAGTGACTACATGAAACAAATTATCTCCTGATATAATCACAACTTGACCTTCTAGATTGTGCCAAATATTATGGAAGTGATAGAAACAATTCAATCCGTGATGATGATGAGCATGCACAGAGGAAGAGTTGTTAGTTTTAAATGGCTTATACTGTGAGTCTTTAGCCAATTAAAGCCTAACGTTTTGGAGATAAATGTCGCCGCGGTATACGACGATTCTAGGGACTGCTCATTTATGAAGAGGGAAGAAAAACACCAAGTGTGGGGACGACTTATCACTTAGTTATTTTAGATATTAATAATGTACTGAATGAATACTAGCAAATATTATTTAAGTGTTTTTATTTCAGTCCCATCGCATCCTCATGTTTTTCCTCAAGAGAGAGTAGCAGTGAGTACCAAGGAAGGAGGTAAGAATTCATTAAACATATACATGTAATTCATCAGCCGGAAGGTCCCTATTGTGTCCCTCTGTGCTAGAGGCCTTCCTTGTTTTTCCCAATACGAACACTTAACAAAATGTTTGCCAAAAGAACCCGAATGATTTATGGCTACAATTATGAGTTTAATCACGGGAAGATCGTCCTTTAACAGAACTGTTTTTTAGCGAGTAGATGATAAAGGAAATAGAGGTTATTCAAATTAAAGAGAAACGCTTCACTTCTGAAAAACTGAGTTTAAACGAGATTCTTTTTCTGGCCAGATACCAGGGGATTCATTGCGAGTTTCACTCATCAAATTCCTTCGGTTTTCGTTGGGAAGTTTGCGGTAGAAATGAAATTAGAGGGACTTGCAATGAAATTAGAGGGACTTGCAAAGAATATGCGAAAATATATTTATAGGGGATCTCAAATCTTCGCTCAAATTGTTATAGAGAATCTATGATATTTTCGTTAAAAACAGTGTGACAGCAGTTGAGTGCTGTAAGAAAAACATGTCAATTTTTTGTATAAAAACGTAAAGGGATTTTTCTTTTAAATGAAAAATATGCAAAGGCAAAGATAAGGTTGAAAAGACACACAGACAGAATTACTCACTATTAGTTAGTGTGTCCAGCCGGTCTATTGTTTCAAAGTCAGTCCAACATTCCATTCTTCGGGCTGTCCCTACATTCATTTAAACCTCTACACAACGACCACCTCTCCATAAAGGCCACCTTCTTCTGTCCTCAAAGTGGCGGTTGTAACCAAGACAGAATTTCTCCTTACAATATCAAGCAGACAGGTAACAAGAATAATGAAAAATGTCAACCAGGGGATTATTAGTTGATCAGCTACCAAATTCTCCAGAAAAACATTCATCAGATTTGCATGACAGAGTGGGGAGGATCGCTTAGAAGATCGATCTCACAAGTGAAAGGGTTAAGAAAAAGATCTTCGCATTGTAATGCAAACATTATTGAACGACTTTGAGGCGAAATGTGACATAGGAATGGAAAGTAGTAAATGAGGTATTCTTCAAATTTTGCCCAAGGCTTGAAACTTATATTTTAAAAGGTCCATCCAGATTTGTTATGGAATTATCCAACTTTTGGATGAAAAACTGCATATTATCTTTGCCCTAAATGGGGCTTTTTTTTTTCAGGGGCCGTTTTACTTTCAGACCCTTTAGTATTTGGTCCTCTGTTTAAAATATCAGAATTATATCCACACACTTTGTGGAACATGTTTGAAATTAGCACAAAGGTATTTCACTGCATTAACGATAATAGATAAAAAAGGTTCAGTAGGTTTGACTGTGGAGTATTATACTGAATTTGACTTTGTTACGTGCACGAATGACCAACAAATGTCCGCTAACAAAACATATATGAAAATAGACTCCCGAGTACGATATATGGCACGCAACAAAAATGTAACAACAAGCAGTTAGCCATTTTAACTATTATTTAATTAGTTTTACATTGTCTAATTTACTTAGGTTAAAGGTTAAGTTGAGCAGTTCATAAAGCAGGCTTACAATCCTTCATGCCGTGTAAGTGTTCGTGGCGAGATGGCCAACCGTGTTATTAGAGCCCCTGGAAGAGTCGTTTACCAGGAAAGATTCCGAAGCTTCCTCTCGAAGACCAGAGCCCACAGTTCCTAGTTACTACGGAGTATGGTGTCTTTAGGTGTCTTTTAAATCTTAATGCAGCGAGAGCAGGTAGACCTGATGGCATTCCGAATTGGATTATTAAGGAGTATGCAGTCTCTAGCCTACCCTGTGTCAACCATCCTAAATGCCTCCTTTAAAGAACAAAAGCTACCGAGATCATGGAAATGCGCAGACGTCACTCCATTACCGAAAAATAAACCCATAAAGGATATTAAGAAAGATCTGAGACCAATTTCCCTAACGCAGAGTATTTCTAAAGTCGCAGAGGACTTTATTGTCACCCAACATTGGAAACCAGCTGTGTTGAGTAAATTGGATCCTGCCCAGTTTGGCGCAATACCAAAGTCTTCAACAACCTTTGCCTTCTTAGAGATGCTCCATGAGTGGTTTAAAGGGACTGACGGGACTGGCTCAACAGCAAGGTTACATATGTTCGATTATAAGAAGGCATTTGACTTGATCGACCCTGGTATACTCGTCAATAAGTTATGCCAACTCGACATAGTACCGAGCGTCATCAACTGGATAATTGATTTCCTGTCAGACCGTTATCAGACAGTTAAGATGTCTGATGGGTGCGTATCTGAGTGGGGCTCTCTTCCATCTGGTGTCCCGCAAGGTACCAAATCAGGTCCCTGACTTTTCTTGACTATAATAGACGATTTAGCGATCACCAACGCCTCCCTATGGAATTTTGTCCACGATACTACGGCCTCAGAAGTTGTGAAGAAAGTTCACCCCAGTGGAGCTCAAAATACCACGAACCAAGTAATAGGGTGGTTGAAGAAAAACAGACTTATACTAAACACAGACAAATGCAAAGAGCTGCGAATTGGTTTCTCTTCAGGACCAATGGATTTCGAGCCAGTTTCAATAGATGGTAAACACATAAAATCGGTTCAACAAGCCAAACTCTTGTGGTTCTGCCTGGTTTTCTTGTGGACGCGCTCTTAGCTCTTAGTTTTGTTCTGGATAAGAAAAGAGGAATTTTTTTTTCAACTACTGTCTGAAATCCACTGCAATCTGATAACTGCAAGTTGTAACACAGTAACACTTCTGTGGTTCTCTTTTGGTGGTTAACACTGTGACCTTGACCTGAAAGGCTGATGTTCAGAGCTTACCTCCTTACATTTTCCATGGTATTGTGTCCATGAATCATTACATTGGGAAGTTCTGTTTAATGATCTTAACAATTTTTTCAACGTGTAGGAGGTTGTGTTGAATATTACCTCGGAATGGAAAATAGAACAATCCTAGACAATGAAATAAGTGCTTCCTCTGAGCAAAATGGCGGTACACCAGCCAAGAATGGTCGACTGAATTACACATTAGGATCATCGTGGTGTGCAAGAACCAGTGACACTAACCCATATCTACAGATTGATCTAAAGACACTTCATATCATCTGTGCTGTGTCCACGCAAGGGAATTCTCAAGCAGATCAGTGGGTAAAGAACTACACACTGCAATTATCCACAAATGGGAAAACTTGGGAAGACTATAAGGAAGGTGGAAAAATTAAGGTACATGACGAGCACTGCTTGGAAAGAAAAAAATTATATCACAAAAATATTGTCATGGACTGTTTAGTCAGTGACAGAAAATGTCTTACTGTCATAACAGTAACAAATTCTTGACTGAAATAAAATCTTTTAATACTTTTAATAATATTTAAATGATTCTGTCTTTTTGTCTGTGGATATCATTGTCTGTGCATGTTTTTATCTCGACCCACATGAAGGAAGAAGAAAGTTATGGTCAGATTAATAAAACGCTTGTTTCTTTCTTAGATTTTAGTAGGAAATGACGACAGGAACTCAGAAGTGAAGCATGTTGTTTATGGAGTGTTAACAAGATATCTGCGATTTTTGCCAAAAACACACCAAGGTGGGGTGTGTATGAGAACAGAGGTGTTTGGAGTAGAAAAAACGTCAAGTGAGTTTGGAACTTATAATGTAAAATTGCATGTTTATGGGGATTGAAGCTCAGCATTTTTTAAATGGGCCATTTATCATTCTCAAATCATGGTATGATTACCTAGAAAAAAAAAGAATGGTCACCAGAGGAAAATAGAGGAACAAAGTAAACGATTTTCTTTGGCTTATTTTGGCGGTCAAACTTTCCAACCTGGGGACGTGTCTTCGTCTGTGTTGTAGCATTTGATTACAATTATTAATTATCAGTCTGAGTTTCTGGGCCAAAAATGTGGTGGGGTACATCAATAAAATTATAACTTCAGACAATATAGTTATTGAATTATCTTTTCTGTTGACTTAATTTTATTTTTGGATACTCTTATTACTTGAGGTAACAAAATCGCAATCTTCAGAGAAGCCGAGCTTTAAGTCCTAATAAGACTTGAAGGATTATATTGGGAGAAAATAAACCAAATGAGCGACCAACATAATTGTTTCAATATACTGCTTATGAAGTCTGCATTGGATCGAAAACTCTGAAAGTTGCTTTATCTAGCACAAAAAATTTCATTGCGAAATATTGCTTTAGAGACATCTGAACAGTAAAAGTTTGGCCGTTTTTAACTTATTTAGCCATTATGCAACTTGACTGATCTGTTGACACAAAAAGAGTAAATTGTAAATTTATCGTGAAGTGCTCAAACGCTTTAAAAGTAAATAATCATTCGATGTATTGCAATTATATATTATAGGGATGGTTTCCGGTAACTTGGGGTGGGATCCTTCAGGTACTGCAGAAGATATGAATTGAAAAGATATGAAGGCTAATAATTGTTGTTATTATCATCTGCAGCTTGTTATATGAATCCCATTGGTTTGGCTGACGGTGGTAAAATTCCGGACAGCAGCTTCACAACCACCTCAATATATAATAGTAGGTATCAAGCGCAATATGGTCGGCTGAATAAAAATAAGGCATGGGGACCCAAGGATAAAAACAATATCAATGACTACCTGCAAATTCACCTGCTGTATGAGTATATCATCTGTGCAGTGGCTACTCAAGGAAATCCACAAAGTGAGGTACCAGAATGGACCACACATTACAAGATACGTTTATCTCCTACTGATACCACTTTTGACACCTACAAAGAAAACAATGAGGACAAGGTTGGTCTTTGTGATGTTTTTGTACAGTCGTATTAAATGCTTGAATTTGCATCTGGTGCACTCACTGAATTTTCTGAATCAAGAGTAGGCATAGGGGGGTTGTTTCTTTTTAACAAGCTTCATTCTTGATGAGAAATTTCCTTCTTGATTGAATTACGATGTTTTCACTAAAAAGCCCAGTTGGGACATTCAGTTTATACTCTGCATCGTTGTCAGTAATTCCCATCGATCGTGAGTCTCCTATATTTTCACTGCTTCACGAGAGCGCGGGGCCCGTGGATAAGAACAAGGCTGACAACTATCTCCAGCATCTAATACAGCAGCTCAAGAATGGAGCACACATTTCAAGATAAATTTATCAATAAATATTACCACTTTTGGCACCTACTGGAAAAAGGAGAAAAAATTATGGCATGGTTGTTCTATGCGAAGGACAGGAGCATACATGCCTAAATTTGTATCCGGCGTAGTTATTACATTTTCAAACTTATAATGCACAAGTGGAAAATGCAGTTCACACTCCACGCCCTACAGCGTTTGGTAATTCGAGACGATACCCTTCAATTTTTGGTAATGAAAAGGAGACTGACTCCTGTGAATCCATGAACATCCCTGTAAGGAGATAAGAAGATTGTTGCGATATGTTAACTCGTGAATCGAACAATCCATTCCTCTATGGGCACACCGGTCTTTGCTATGACCAGTTAATTTATATATGCTTAACCGGTGTAGATTATCATGTTTGTCATGTTTGATTTAGGAATGAAGCTCATTTTGATCAGTGAGTCTGGCTAGCATATTTGCTGTGTTCTACCAATCTTCTCCTTGTAATATCAAGAATGCATTTTTTAATGTTTTTTTAAGGTCCTAAGAGATAATCTGTACTGTTATAGAAGTAATTGTGCATAATTATACAAGTTATTTCACCCATTGGCTCGATGTGTAGAGTAACTTGTTTGAAGAGAGCTCTGTGAGACACAAACATGTAATTTACAACTCAATGTAGCATTATTCCCCCAAATATTGAATTCTCGGCACAGAATGATTTGAAACAAAATCATTTGCTTGTTAACTTTCTTCCCTCTTCCAGTAACTCAACACTATAATTTACTTATTTCAAAAACAGGTTAATTATATTCCTGTAGATAAACTACAAACAGGGTAAATTACATAGTTGTGTTTGATCGTGCAGATGAAACCAGGTTTATATGATTCAGAGTGATCATAGCATCATTCTCTTTCATCCTCTGAAAGTTGATGTTCGTGGATTAACTTTTGATTATAGCGGTTAATTACGCATTTTCTTATATAAAAATGTTACGAAAATGTTACGAACAATGAGTTCTCTTTTCATGCTACCAACCACAGGTTTTTCCTGGAAATAAAGACGAACACCGCACCGTAAAAAACAGTCTTAATTACTTTGCAAGTGCAAAGTACATCCGCTTTGTGCCAACACAATTTCATGTCTGGAAAATTCTTCGAGTAGAGGTATATGGAATACTCCTAACTAAAGGTAATTATATGACCTTTTTCTTCTCTTGAAAATCGACAAAAACAAAATTTATATGTGCACGATCCTTCGCAGTAAAGCACTATTTAAGCAATAGTGAAAATCAGACCTGAAAAAAATTTCAGGCCTGTACGGGATTCGAACCACCGACCTCTGCGATACTAGTGCAGCGCTCTACCAATTGAGCTAACAAGCCAACTGGGAGCAGGCCATCAAATTAATTCGACATAAACCCGTAGATGATAAATCAAACAACAACAAAAACATATGTTTCATATGTTTGTTGTTGTTTGATTTATCATCTACGGGTTTATGTCGAATTAATTTGATGGCCTGCTCCCAGTTGGCTTGTTAGCTCAATTGGTAGAGCGCTGCACTAGTATCGCAGAGGTCAGTGGTTCGAATCCCGTACAGGCCTGAAATTTTTTTCAGGTCTGATTTTCACTATTGCTCAAATAGTGCTTTACTGCGAAGGATCGTGCACATATACGTTTCATAACCGCAGTTCATACATATGTTTCATATGTTTGTTGTTGTTTAGAAACAAAATTATTATTAAACTGCTATTCGCCAATGGAAAGCTAAGTATCCTCAATGGTCACTGATTCTGGTTAACTGACTCAGTAAAGTTTGGAGCTGGACATAATAAAATTTACAGATACATACAGATAGTGACGCTGTCTAACCCGAAAGTTTGTGTCCGCTATTCTCTGAACTCGTGCACCAGTGTGCAATTGCGCACATGGAGCAAATGATACCATGATATAAGAACAAAAACACCTTCCCTAATGCGCTGAATTGTATAATATTAAAAAGTTAGTTGGATTTTAACAAAGCGGTTCTTTAGAAAAAGACAGCAGTCTTCATTGTTCATGTCTACGTGAAAGTAAGATGTTACAGAAAAACTACCAACTTTATAGTATGCACAAAGGAAGGGTATTTAGTTTTTAATGGCTCGTGCAGTGATTCCTGAACAAGTATGCTCTTGGTTGTCCTGTGTATCGTTGTTGTGTAAGTGTGAGATCAAATATGAAAGCCTGGAGTTCTGGAGATAATAATAGTAATACCACTCATTTATATAGCGCATATGCAAAGGCTCTATGCGCTTTACAATGTAGCACACGGAAATAAATAAAATGACTTCTAAAAGAAATAACCTAGTCGCTAGAAACTTTGGCAAAAAGAAATGTCTTAAGCTTGGACTTAAACGTTACCAAATTATGACAAGATGTTGTCAGTGGGCAGATGGTTCAAGAGATCTCGTGGAGAGATAGCGAAAGCTCTCGCGCCGTAAGTCATCAAGTTATAATTTGGACGAGGTGAGCGTTGAGAGGATGAAGACCGAATTCGAAGTGAACGCATGGGACGATGACGAACGAGTAGATCTTGAAAATTAGATGGTGTAAGATTGTGAAGAGACTTAAAAGTTAAAAGGAGTATCTTGAACTTTATACGTTCTGCCACAGATGTCTCCTTAGTATACAGCTATTCTGTAAAGCAGCTTACCGATGAAGATAAACAAAAAATACAAACTTAAGGATGGACAAATTTGTAGTTACTGTCAAGGTAATCTAACGGAGTTCATGTTAATAATTAACCACCCAATATCATTTAACGTTAATGGAGTTTTATGTTATCAATTACTCAGCAAATATCACTTAATTTCTCCTTTTTTGCAGTTCCATCGCAACCTCCAGCTGCCTTCAAGTTAACTGCAAGCTCCTCTACCAGCATTACAGCCCATTGGCAGTTACCACCAGTATTTGCCAGACATGGAAGAATCCAAGGGTTTAAACTGTTTTACAGAGAGATCTCTGCAGGTTCTTTTGCCTTCTTGAATATTGCCAGTGGATCAACATTAGGCAGACTTGTAACTGGGCTTCATAAGTACAAAAAATATGAATTTCAAGTGTTGGCCTACACATCTGTTGGTGATGGACCAAAAAGTTCTGTTGAGGTGGAAAGAACAATGGAGGATGGTATGTGACAGTCTAGGGATAATGAAAAGATCTGTAAACCTTGTTTTATGAGTATTTCCCTGATAGTCATTAAGCGTTTCCTGAGAATGAGATATCAAACAGAGGATGAGAAGACTAAACAACTAGATGGTTAGGAATGAAGTAATTATTAGGGACCTTAAGCAACCACGACGGCAACTGCAACGAGGACGTGGAAAAACAAGAGATCTAATTGGCAGAACAATAGCTCAGCACGTGCGTCAGTTGAAACTTTGTACATTTCTTAGCCGTCCTATGCAAAACAACAACGTGAAATCGCCAAAATTTGCGTCGTCTGCGAACCGAAACCGCGACGGTAAATTATTTTGATTTCCATTTAGAACTCAACGCTGCTTTTATCCGTCATGCTGAAGTTGAGCTGTGGCGTCGTATGAGACAGTAAGCTCATCCAGCCATTTTTAAAATTCTAACTAAGAGTAGAAATTCATTTTTTAATCAAAGTCTTCCTTGGCGTTGCCGTCCTGACTGCTTAAGGTCCCTATTACTAAACGAAAATGCAATAGCATTGATACTAATTTATCATGAGGTTCTTACAGGTAATTATAGTAATTAAAACACTACTGTCCGATTGCAGCTCCTTCACAACCTCCATCTAATGTCAATGTCACTGGCTGTTTTCTTTTAGAATCTCGGTTCGTGAGTGTCATTGATAATAATGATAATTATTAAAAAAAAAACAACAACAAAACAGCGACAGCACAGATATTCTAACTCAAGTATGTGTTCCTCATCGGAACAGACATCTTACAAACAGAAGTGAAATATCATCCGACTCCTAATGTTTACCTTAATTGAGATCACTTTCAAATAGGGCATATTAGATTGTATGCCGAAACATGTCTCAAAAAAGTTGTCTATTTCTTACAATATTTATCATACTTGCTACTACTGCGACCTTATGAAAATATTAGATTGTATGCCTAATAATGTGCATGCAACAATTTCAGCGTGCTAATTGGCTGAGAACACGTCAATTTACCCCTTATAGTGCAGAAAGGTCAAATTTAGTACAAAAAGTTGAAATTGAGTGTAAGAAGCTGGAATTAAATTGATTGACAGAAATGTCGTAAAGTAGATGACACGAAAAAATGACGGACAGCTCACGAGAAAGTAGTAACTTTTGAATTCAAATTTTGAAGGAGATTGCTCAGAACGAAAACACCCAATAAAGCACAAACAAATGGCTAAACATCTGGAACACTTATGCTTCTATACACGGCTGCGACAAAAGTATTGAAACGCACGGACCGGAGGGTCTGAAAAAATTTCAAGAGGAATATATATAACTGGTCGTACGAAAGACGGAAAGATGAAAAGACTGAGAACATTCATGTGCTGGTCGCTCCTACGCGATTATCTGATTAATACTGATAAGAAGATGACGATCATAATGACTCTGTTTGTCGTTATGATTATTATTATGATCTTCTTATATTGTAACTTCTCAATTGCAGTTCCTTCACTGCCTCCTAGTGACTTTATTTTGACTGCAACCAATTCTTCCAGTATATCAGCATCCTGGCAGTTACCACCAGAAAACTCCACAAATGGAATCATCAGAGGATTTAAATTGTTCTACAAAGAGAAAGGCTCTTCAGGGCCCACATGCATGTTTCTCATTAGCAATCCGGCAACTCGCATTCAAGAGGTCACTGGGCTAACTGAGTACGCTGAATACGAATTTCAAATATTAGCATTTACTTCTGTTGGGGATGGACCAACAATTACAGTTGTTTTTAACACAAAGGAGGCTGGTAAGAAATAGGATTCTATAGAATTCTTTCTATGAGAAGCAGAAAACCATTGTAGTTAGAAATGTCTCTACAATTTTAGTAGTGATCAAATCGTCTTGAGAAAACCTATATAATTTGTTTGTTTGCCTGATCTCTGTTGAGACAGATCTTAACACAATCAACATTCCAAACATACATTTTTATTTAGATGTCTATAGTGCCCTTAATTTTATGGAAAGAAACCTTCTCCTGTACATGCATGTTATTAATGTCAATAGAACATACTTTATTATTACCTATTCTCGCGGAATAAAAAAAAGCGCGAAATTTAAGACCAGCATAAAATATTTTCGTGAAAAATAAACCACGCCAAATTTAATACACTTCACCAGCAGTGAGGCAAAGCGCTACGTTCCCAGGCGATGAGAGAAAGCAAGAGTCGTTGGGGTAGTATACATACATACATACATACATACATAGGTTATTTGACCACTCCCCATGGGGGCTTTTCAGGGCCAATTCCCACCCATCCCACCCCAGAGGACGACATTCACGACACGGTAATCTCGTTCGTGGAAAATTAACGTCTCCTACCCCTAACCCTGTAGGAGACGGGGCCTACGGTTTATTCGTCCTTATCAAAGAAGACTTGAATATCTATCCATTTCTTGATAATAGAAAGGTAGCAATTTCTCCTCACTTATTTTAAGGCCATGAGTATTGGTCCGGCCGAGGCTCGAACCCTCGACCTCCCGCACAACACAATCCGGCGCTCTAACCAATTGAGCTAACCGGGAGGTGGTTTGCTCAATTGAGTGTCAGCTCTTCCTCCCGAGGATCCATTCGAAGAAATTGCCATTGGCCCTCAGGGTCCTTCAGCTGCTAGCGTAAATAGATGCTGTCATATACTCATGTATAGCTCTGCTTCATTTCAAAGAAACAAGTCATATTGTTTTTAATGTGACGGCTTTAGTAGAATACCCGCTAAGTGGGGTATTGTCACTATCGAAAGTCATAAGATCATTAGGAAATAACGTCACAGTTAAATCGAAATTTGCCTACGTTATGGCAATCAGATTTATAAATTTCAAAATGTTTTTTAACTGTCAAAGCTACGTATTTGCGGGGAGAATACATTGTTATAACATGCAATGTAGTATTTTTTGTGTCCTACAGTGAGGCTCTACCTTTTATTGCCATGCTTAAAGAACTATAGGCGCGAAATTCTCACTTCTTAAGAAACTATCCGCATAATTGTTACTTTTAGATTGAACACTTTGCCTTGACTACTTCATGTTTATCAAAACTAAGGTAAACCTATTATCAAAGATCTGCCTAAAAGAACTATTACAGCAGTCGGTGAACTAGTAGTGTTGACTTGTGAGGTTAGTGGAGACCCTGAGGCTTCTGTTACCTGGACCAAAGATGGACTTACAAGAATACCTCGAGCTCAGTTGGAGAACAACGCCAAAATACTTATTGTAAAAGATGTTGTTCCTGGTGACAGTGGCGTTTATGAATGTAAAGCAGTGAACATGTTTGGAGAGAGCCGTACAGCTACGATAGTCATTGTCGCTGGTAGGTAGAAACTGATTTACAATTACAATGAACATTGAATAACTATTGCATAATAATTTCTTCTGTGAGGTGAATATGTGGAAGAGTAGGAGTGTTATTTTTGACAACACGTTAAATACTCCTTGTCGAATTTAAAATTAACAACATCAGTAATAACAAAGCAAACCACCACTTAACGCGCAAACTAAAATTACATGATGGTAGTGTCCTCATATGTTTGTTAAACTCTTCTCTGTTGGCATGAGCATGATTTTGTCAAAATTTTGTTTGGTCTAATTTCATTTGTCTTTCTCTTCACATAGTGCCACCCAGAATTATCGAAGAGTTTTCCCCTTCATTAGTGATGTGTGAAAAGCAAACTCCGTGTCTTCTCTCTTGTCAAGCAACAAGCTACATTCCGTTTAACTTCTCGTGGACGAAAGATGGTGAGGTTCCCACCGGTGATAACATGAAGTTATCGAATAACAGTATCATTGTCACGCCACGGAATAGACGAGATTATGGGGATTATCTGTGCCACGCTACAAACAGCTTTGGGTCAACAGAGTATAAAATCACTCTGCTTGCTCCTAAGGATAATCAGCATGATGATGGTATGTATTCTTCTTCACAATTCGAACGCGTTAAAACGTTTCATCTCAAAAATTTTGGAGAGCTTAGAACTTTCAAGTCCGGTATGAAGTTTTTAGGCTTCTCTTTACAGCTGAATACACAGGTTTAAACATGTGTGTATCAAAAGCAACATCATGTACTGGTCTGATACGCAGACGTTTCTTAGTGTGAAGTTACATTTTCTTTCTTCAGTTATAAAATTGTTTTAGTGTTCCGGTCGATCCTTTCTGATATAACAATTGAGTTGTAAGGTTGCAACTAAATCAAACCAGACCTATACGTATTATTGTTGAGAGGGCTCAGGGCTAACATATGTCTGTGCTTCTCGTAGAGATTACTGGAGGTCCTGTATGTGACTTGATAACGAAATCTCGACTCAATCGGAATTCGAAATTTCTGGCATTCAATGAAGTTCGACCACGAGACGAGACGAGACAACAGAACGTTTGAAACTGTAATCTTGTTTCGAGATTAAAAGAAAAATCGTATTCCTTAGGGTGAAAATACTTCTAAAAAAAAAACATTATTGCTTCGAAGCAAAGTAACTAAGCTGTTCTCAGCGTTTGACAGCTGGTTCTTAAGCCGTTTGTTTTATTGTTTTTTTACTAGATACACAAAACATCTTCTTTGCTAGTGTCAGCGCATTGTCTTGTATTGTGCATATATATGTACATATATATTGTTTTATTTTTAAATTTCTTAAATTTTTAGGTAGTATTTAGTGTCCCCAGTTAGTGGTTGTATAACTGCTATTTTAGATTTGACACATAAATAAAGGTTGTTGTTGTTGTTGTGGTCGTGTTGCTCATGATAATTTGTGGGCAGATATGGCGGCGAGGACGAGCTGTTCCTTATAAAAGGATACAAAGTAAAAAAAACGGTGAAGTTGATGGCGTCAGATCTTCCCCTGATCAACAGTCAAGTGACGAACAAGCTTCACATTTCAACACATATATGGAACTCAAACCCTGGCCTTCGAACCAGGAGTCTCAAGTTTCTTTCTGAGTAAAAACCTGAGAGCCGCGGATATTACAATATGGTGCTTCAGCAAGAAAATGGCATGAAATATGATATTTCCAAAACTGCTTTTGTATCTGTTTTGTTCAGATTATCCATCCTTTTTTTTATATAATAAGCTTAACTATATACGTATTCTGATTTGTTCTTACTTACATGTATGATCTAATGGAGGACAGATGTAGAGGTGACGTCGCCATTCGCAACATCTTGCTTCTTTATTGTGTAAAACAATTGGATTCTGTTGTGTGATCAGTCACGAAAGACCTCAAAATTTTGTGAGAACTTCAGTGCCACTCCCGGCTGAAATTCGTGCGCCACTGTTTTGTTCTCACTGCATTTTGACGTCATTTGTAATAAAAAAACGGAACGAACAGACGCACGGTAATGTGGAATCTAATTGTTAATTACGAACGGTACTTCAGATAGTGACACTCTTTTTGTTCTTATCTCGCTGAAAGAAGTAATAAAAACCTCGGCGATGAAGTGCCATGCGTTTGGAGTGCCTTCCTCCTCATCATCGTCATGGTCATATGGGAAGGGGTTATCCAAAATCACTGTAAAGAAAATATACGATGTATACTGATCACAATAGCTTCCTCGATGAATCCTGGCAGCGAATGCAGTCAGTTTACTTGAAGAACAGACCATCAAGGCAGTTTTTATGTAGGGCCTTAAGGGCTTCTTTGACGTGCAACAATCTTTGATTTGGTGCATTCCAAATTCATTTCTTAAATTTTTCTTATATTTTACTCGTATGTGTGTAATTATATCTTTTGCTCTTGAGATGTTTTTAAAATGCCATATCAAGGAATCATGTACAGCTCGATCATAGCCCTTCGTTATAACCCTTAGATGAGAGGCAATTACAGTCTTTTAAATTTGGGTGAGGATCCCAAGCATCTACTGACAGCTGAAGTAAGAGCACACGGTAAGGGAATTTAGCTGACGACCCGACGTAAAGGAAAGAAAAGTGAACAATGGTTTGTACTGCTAGCCGCAAACGGAAATTCTGTAATCAGTTTATTAAAGAATCAGTGCACTTGCAATGAAAAAGGGACAAAAGTATTAACTGATAAGAATGAGAGTTCATCTCTGTAGACGTGACACTTTGCGCACTAATTTACGAGGCATATAAATATGATTTAAATTCATGGGGGGAGGGGAGACCGGGAAGGGTAGGGGTAAGATGTTCCCCATCGCCATTGCCATCCTTCCTTTAGTGTGATTTCAATTTTTAGAGGCAGCCTCTTAAAATTCTCTCGTGGTCTTAAAGAGCAGATCCGTGCAAGAATCAAACAAAATCGCAAATCTTCGGCAAAGCTAAAAAAAAATCAGATTCACTCATCTTTTGCATATAGATAGCCTTTAGTAAGTATATGAATGTCATGTAGTTTTTTCCTTGAAATATCTGTTAATTCCTGAGAAAAACGATGGAAGCCGTTTTAAACTTAGGCACAATTTGGCGATCCCAAACATGTCCAAACAGGGTTGAAATCGGGAGATGACAAAACGCGGAGCCCTACTCCATGGAGTACCCTATGGAGTACCTAAATGGAAGGCATGATTTTAGCGAAATTAGCATAAAATAATAAGGGCTGACTTTTAAAACCGAGGTATTTTGTTTGTCGTCAAAGGAATTTTCCTATTTTCAGAGTTTTTAAGGAGAAAATTAATTTTCGAAAATTTTCAGGGGTTGTACAAAGGTTTTGGAGGTTGTTCTGTAAAAGAAAAGCGGCAAGGAAAACGACGCAACAGAATAGGAAATCAACTATTAGTGCGGTATTGCCATTTACGTTCCCAGTTACATTTTTTGTGTTTTGCACGCGCATTTCTCTTACTGTTTTTTTGCATTCTTTTACTCACGTTGATTTATATTCTCTTAGATTTTTTCGTATAATTTTTCTTTGTTTAACTTCATTTTCTATAACCTTCTTGGTAAAAATTCAGCACTGGAGTATCGATCAGAGTCCTTCATATCAACTCCGACCTTCATATCATTCGCTCCGACGAAGGGCTAACGCTCGAAACGTCAGCTTTTGTAATCGTTACGGTGGCCAATTTACCATTTCAACTTTGTTGATATATCCAAATTACTTCATATCAACGTCGATTCCTTCGTGTTTTCCGTCCTTCGTGTCCTCAAAATCATACAAAGTTTGTAAGTGTTTTTCCTTGTCCGATTGCTTTATCTCTGTTGTTTACGTTTCCATTCCCTCTACTTGTATTTTATAATTACTAGTAATTATTTTGTTCCTTTAGCAACCGCGATCGACCTTAATGTAATAAAGTTAAAGCGCGCGTTGAAACTGGACTTGCTGGCAGGTACATCAACCATGCGAACGAGTCAGAATCCGTTTTGCACGGCAAAACCTAGGGTATGCGCATACGTTATTCAGCTCTGTCTTCTGGCTTCACAGCATAACTGGACAACAACTGAAACCAGCAGTCAAACGTTGGGCATGCGCGAGGGATCAGTCTGGCCAGCGTCCAAAATTTTAAACAAAAACATCACGAATCAGCCGCTGTTGCAAAATAAAGAAAAAATTGAAACGTTCATAGAAATCTGTAAAAAGGAATTAAAAGTAGGGAAAAGAAAAACTGGGGACTTTTGAAACGCAAAGCTTATTCATGTACTTTACTAATCTGTTTTGAGCTTAACTAAATACGCCTCTGTGCTTCTAAAACACAATGACTTAGTACTCGCTTGTGTAGTTGTTTGTAACTTTTGGACAGTGTCCGCGAAAGTCACAAAAGCGGCAGAAGACAATCAAAACAAAGAAAAAATTAAACGACCTTCTTGGGCTTATTATGGTACAAACACAGCTGGCTCTCTTTCTCGACTCTCAACATAAAAAAGTCATTCTTGATTCTTATTAAACTGAAATTTATTTTTGCTTTATAATAAATCCTTCATTGACTAAGCTAAAAATAAAATCTATCTTAACTCGAAGTCGTTTACCGTCGTTTCTTTCAATTTTGGCTAATTTTCTCACTCTGAAATTATCATTCATACTCAATAAAATATAAGTGATTTCAACTGATACTGACTTCATACACAACATCTGAAGAAGAGTACATTCCTTATCCTCCAAAAAATCCGTTCAAAAAATCAGGAACATCTACGACGTTCTTCAGCTGCTTGAAAATACCGCTGACTAACTAACATGCGTGTTGATCGTTTTCCAAGTTGTGAGAACATTGTCCCTAGGCTCCAGACCGTCGTCCAGGCCAAGCCCCGCCAATTTCCCCCTTCCCCTCCCCCCACTCTAACTGGCCCTAAATCTCCTTGAACAACCTCACAACCTCTTCAACAGGCAGCGCCAAGGATTTTCAATAAAATGAAGGCTGGCAAATAAACGATCTGGAGCTCTGCTTTTAGGCTTAGCTAAATCTATATATTAAGGATACTAATTAATTATTTGAAGCCTAGTTTCAACTCTTCCCATCGGGAATTACCCAAGGATATAAAATATGTGATTTAGCGGACGGAGCTCATTTACCCTGGTGATGACCTAGTGTCGAAAACGTTTGGTTTTTACTTTTGAAAAAAATTTTTGGTTTGTAAATAGCTCATTTTTAAACCTATGATAAGATTGAGAGGTTTTAAAATAATTTTCCTTTGAATTTCTTTCTGTTCTCAAGGTCATATTTCAGAGTATCCGTTGAATGAGTTGCCAATAACCGAATCCCTCTATTATGCGTAAAGGGTTCTGAGATCGCCACGGGGCAAACATTGCTAAGTTGCCACAAAGAAATATATGGCGGAAAGTTGCTTTGTCGTACAAGAAAACGATTCTGGAGAGAATTCAGTGCATTTTTACTGCTGTTTTGTCAGGAAAGGATGAGCAATGTTGATTAGGGGATGCGTAAGTTTTTGATCGAATAACTATGAAATATGTGATAAAATGTACCAATAAAGTTCTTTCCTTGCCTAAGGTTTAATGTGAAATAGACATCTCGT